CCAGTCAAATGTTCACTCCTGTTAGGAAATCCTCTAACACCTGTCTGAAAATGCTTGTTCATCTTATAATGAGGATGGGAGACCATGAATGATTTTTGAACAAACAAAAATAAATCCCCTAAAGCCATGGATAAAATAAGTGAGGGGGACGTTTACTGCAATTAGGTAATTTTATGTACATATTCTATATCAAAATTACAGCCCATAAAATTTTTATGGGCACCTCTTTAGGCTTATAAAATAAAATGATGCATTTTATAGTTGTAGCACCAACAACTAAAGAGGTATTTGAAAACTAGTACTAGAGTTTCATTTTTTCTTTAAAACAAAACAAAACATACAAGCAAACAAAACCCAACTAACTTGCCTATAGACTAATTCATTTCAGGCACAGCCTTAATTTCTTTCAGATTGGGGGGTTTATAAACCCTGGGTAATTTGCCTGGCGCAATTATCAGTTATTTTGGCAACTGCAGAGCTCAAGGAACTTTTAAATAGTTGAAAGCATCTTAATTCCCACATTTAAACAAGTAGATAAGGTACAAATAATAATACCGAATATAAATCCAGTGGTGGGAAAGATACTATAACTTGGAGATTTAATCTCAAAACCTACTTTGTATCCATTACAGTCATCTGTTTGAGATTTAGGTAAACCTGTCAGAAGCAATGGGCCAGGGAATTACTGAGGTCAATTATACCAGAAACAGAAACAGGGGTTTGAACTGGAGGGCCACAGATGGGCTTTATTTAGGCAGCATTGTGCTTTAACCATTTTTGAATGTGAATGTTTTTAGCTGGGCACCAGACTACAGTTCACCATGACCACTCCCTATTGTAATATGCTGTCTGCTTGATGTATTTACATCACTGGTCTGGCCCCAGGAAATATTTAAGTTTGCAGTCCTAGTATGTCTTATGTGCATATTTATACCATAGTTTCTGCTTTTTAGGAGGTGTTTACAGTGAAATGAATCCAAATCAGAGGTCAGAACACTTTGGGTAGGAACCTTCTCTATTCCACCAGATTCAATGTTAACGTTTTTACATCCATGCCCACATTAAATCTCAATGATAAGTCTATGAGATAGGGATTGTTATTATCTACCTCCATTTATTGGAAGAGGCAACTGAGACTTAAAAACACAAATTACTTGTCCAAGGTCCCACCCCTAAGAATGAGAGACACGGGATTTGAACCTATACTTCCTCCCCCATCAATGCATTTATTCATATGGCCCAGAGCTCAGGGAAGATGTGTCCAGTTTCCACACCCTGGACTTATAGATTTCCCTCCTACTATCTATGAAACACTTCCACATCGAGGGCCACCAGCATCTTTAAGCAACTTAGATGTCATGATTCAACACTTAAAATGATCCTTTGGGAATATCCTTAGGTCCCTTGTCTCTTTACCTTCCATTGCATGTTCTTGGTAAAGCACTGATTATTCATCTGGGGCAAACATCCATTATCTTTTCCCTCCCCCTAAGACTTACTCCCTTAGGTATGAACAAAAGACCCTGCCCTATGCTGGGTTCCTTTAGCTTTCACCTGTGTTTTGTTTCTCTACAACTCTTTGCAACCAAGCTTCTGGAAAAGTAGCCTATCTTGGCTGCCTCCACTTCCTAACTTCTTCCTTACTCCTCAGCCTCCTGCAACCTGATCTCTGATTCCACTACTCCACTGAAATCACTATCTAAATTGTTAAAGACCTTCTAGTTGCTAAATTGAATGAGTATTTTTCAGTGCATCCTCTTCAGGATGCAACATTGTTGGATACTTCCTTCTCAAAATGTTCTCTTCCCTTGGACCTATAGATTTCCAAATCTATAGGGCCCAAGTGTCTCCTGGGCTCTTTCCTTGCTACGACCTCTCTGACTGCCCTCCTTCAACTTCATTTGCAGCCTGTCTTCCACCTCCAGCCATCAGTGTTAGAGTTTCAGCCTCAATGTTTTTGAGTGACTTGATCATTTTATGGGAAAAACTTTGACTTCCAAATTCATATCTTCTGCCATAGCTTTCTCCTAAACTTTATCCAACTGCTTGTTGAAGTCTCATAGGCACTTGAAATTTAATACATCCCTAACTTTTTACTTCCCCTTCATATGGTTTGGCTGTTTGTCCCCCCCAATTCTCATGTTGCAATGTGATCTCCAACTTTGGAGGTGGAGCCTAGTGGGAAGTATTTGGGTCATGGGAGTGGATCCCTCATAAATGGCTTGATGCCATCCCCTGGGTGATGAGTGAGTTCTCCCTCTATTATTTCACTGGAGAGCTGGTTGTTTACAAAAAGTCTGACATCTCCCTTTTCTTTCTTACTCCCTTTCTCGCCATGTGACACACCTGCTCCCCCTTCACCTTCCACTGTGAATCAAAGCTTTCTGAGGCCTCACCGGAAGCAGATGCTGGCACTATGCTTCTTGTGCAGCCTGTAGAACTGTGAGCCAAATAAATTTCTTTTCTTTATAAATTAGCCAGCCTCAGGCATTCCTTTACAGAAGGACAAAATGGACTAATAACATCCTTTTTATCCAATTCCCATCTATTTTACCTGTCCAGGTGAATACCTCCACTTGTTCTTGAGTCATCTGTTCCTCACTAGGTGAAAAAGCTCCTGAAGTCTATTTAATAAATACCTGATTCTCTCGTGCCACCATGCCAGCTAAATTTTTTACTTATTGTAGAGACGAGGTCTCATCAAGTTGCCCAGGCTGGTCTCAAACCTCTGGGTTCAGGCAATTCTCTCACCTCGGCCTTCCAAAGTGCTGGGATTATAGGAATGAACCACCATGCCGGGACTCTCTCCTCTTCTCTACCCCTGATACTGCTGCACCTATTTATACTCCATCTTTTTTTAATTTGTTTGCTTTCCTTTTCTTATTACGGTATAATTGACATGCAGTGTAATTCACCCTTTTGAGTGTACAGATAATTCTATGAGTTTTGACAAATGCATATAGTCATGCAACCGCAACCACAATCAAATATGAAATAGTTTCATCATCCCCAAAATATCCTCCCATGTTCATCTGCAGTCAACCCTTTTCCCTACCCCTGGAAACCACTGATCCATTTTCTTTTCCTATAGTTTTTCTTTTTCTAGAATGTCATATATATATGTACATGGAATTACAAGTGTGTAACTTTTGAGTCTGGAATCTTTCACTCAGCAAAATAAATTTTAGATTTAACTATGTTGTTATAGGCATCTGTTATTTATTCCTTTTTATTGTATTTTTTGTACCGGTTTGTTTATCTGTTTACCAGTTGAAGAACATTTACTTTGTTTCCGGTTTTTGGCAATTGTGAGTAAAACCACTATAAATACTCATGTTTAGATTTCTGCGAGAACATAGTTTTCATTTCACTTGGATTGATACCTAGGAGTAGGATTGCTGGGTCATATGGTCATATGTATAACTTTATAAGAAACTACAAAATTGTTTTTCAAAGTGGATGGTCCATCATGTTTTCTCAACAGTGACATCAGCGAGTTCTACATGCTCTGTATCTGTGTCAGTCAGCACTTGGTGTTGTCATTTTTATTTTCTTAGTTTTAGTCATACTAAGTGGTATATTGTAGATCTCATTATGGTTTTAATTTGCACTTTATTAATATTATGGAACATCTTTTTTATGTGCTAATTTGCCATCTATATATCATCTTTGGTGAAGTGTTTGTTCAAATTTAGGCCTCCTCCCCTTTTTTGTTTCTTTAGAATTGTTTATTGTTTTCTATCATTGGATTTTGAGAGTCTTTATATTCTGGTTGCAAGTCCATTGTCAGATATGTGTTTTGCAAAAATTTTCTTCCAGTCTTTGGTTTCTCTTTTCATTTTCTTAAGAGTGTCTTTTAATAAACTTTTTATTTTGAGATAATTGTAGATTAACATGTAGTTGTAAAAAGTAATACAGAAAGAACTTGTATACTCTTACCAGTTTTTCACAAAGGTAACATCTCGCATAACTATAGTACAAAATCACACTCAGAATAAGCACAGATGCTTTAACATGCACGTGTTTGTATGTGTGTGGTGTGTGTTTTGTTCTACAATGCAATCTCTTGTAGATTTCTGTGATCACCCCTTCAGTCAAGATACAACACAGTCCATCACATGGATTTCTTTTATAACTATATCTTCTACACCTCTCTGGTAACCACTAATCTTCTCTTTTATCTCCGTAGTTTTGTCATTTCAAGAATGTTATATAAATATAAACTTTTTTATAAATATAAATAATAAAAAATATATAATATAAAAAATATAAAGTCTGACTTTTTATGTGCAATATAATTCCCTGGAAATTCACTGAAGTTGTTTCATGTAACAATAGTTCTTTTTTATTACTGAATACTACTCCACTGTTTGTTTAGCTATTTAACAGCTCAGGACATCTAGGTTGTTTCCAGTTTGGGAGTTATTACAAAAAAAGGTGCTATAAACATCTATGTACAGGTTTTGTGTGAACACAAGTTTTCAAGTCTCTGGGATAAATGCCCAGCAGTGCAATTGCTGGGTTTTAGCGTAGTTTCACCTTTAGTTTTGTAAGAAAATCGTCAGACTGTCTTCCAGAGTAACTGTACCATCATACAGTGTATGTTTTACATTACACATTCCCAGTCAGGATATTGCGTGTTACGGACCAGTGCCTTTTCTTCAGTGAATGAATAATAATCAATGGCAGAATGACTTCGGTACTATATTTAAAAAATAATAATAAGAGCACGGAGAAAGAATGAGTGAAGGAATAGGGCAAGGCATCATAGCTGTCACCCCTTTAACCCACTGTCCAGACCTACTCTGGCGCTAAAACCAGAGCCCCAGACCTTGTTCATGAGCATGCGCAGCGTCCTCCTCTAGGCCCCGCCTCAACCCCGCCCCGGCCCAGCCCCTCAGCTCCTCCCGTGGGACCGCCCCCTACGTACACAACCAATGAGGCGTAGAAGGCGGGGTCCTGGTTGTCGCGGTGCTCCTTGGGTAGCGTTCCTAGTTACTGTTGCTAAGACTGTGGGTCGCCCGTAGAGGTGGGAGTCCGAATTTGAGAGTCAGGACCTGAGAGAGATCAAGGGTTATCGCAGAGCCAAGGAGATGGTGAAGCAGACGATCCAGATATTCGCGAGGGTGAAGCCCCCTGTCCGGAAGCACCAACAAGGGGTACGAGTCGGAGCAGCCAGGGCACCGGCGCAGTGGGGCCTCCCGGGCTGGAGAAGGGGCGGCACCCGAGGGGGCAGGGTCAAGTGAGGGGCTAGCCGGCAGGCGCGGGTTCGACCCGGAATCCCGCACACACTGACTTAGGCGCCCTCTCAGCGAGGCACACACCGGTGCACCGCTGTCAGGGACGCGACCGAGGGACTCCAAGGCCACTCCCACCTGGCACAGCCCAGCAGTCGCAGACATACCCCGCACAATGCCACTTTCAAGGCCCAGGTACCTACACAGTCAGTACTTTGCACGTAGTGGGGCCTCAGAAATTTGTTGACTAACTGCATTGTCACTCTGCAACATAGACATGAACCTTGACATATATTCAAGGCTGTAGATAGGTATTTATACGTGCTGACCAAAAGAATACACGTGTATTCTTCATTCAGAAAACATTTAACTGAGTATTTACTAGGTGCTTCCTCCAGTGTGCTAAATTCCTAAGTGTACAAAGAGGGTTAGCATACTGCCCTTGCTCTCAGCACAGATGCTTTGTACACTTCTTAAATGTTTCAGAACATTGTTTTCTCTACCTAGAAAAGAGCACAGTCATTCTAACTGTATCTTGAGAAAATGCCACCTGACAGGTGCTTATCTGTATTATCTATGATTCCTAAAGAGCCCTGCGAGGTTGGTATCATTTTCCTCATTTTACGAATGAGAAAACTGAATCTCAGATTAAATAATGTGAACAAGTCACCCAGCTGGTGAATGGCAGAGTTGTGATTTTAATTAAGGATTTTTTTTTTTATTCCAAAGCTAATCCCTCTTTGGACAAAACCGTTTTTGCCTCCTGAAGTGAGAAGTTAGGCAAGGGCAATTAGGGTCGTATTTGTGAGAGTCTGGAATGGATATTATTAATATTTTACTTCTATTCCATATCTATATTGTGTATATGTATACGTGAAACATCATAGCATCTCATAATTTAGCATTTGTCTCACATACTTTATGTATTTAAAGCAAAGAATAAAGCAGTGTAGAACCATGAGTATCTTTCTATTTTCTTTCCTCTCGCAATGACTTACATGAAGGTTTTTAAAAGTACATCTCATGTAAAAAGTTTACTATATGGAATGTTTCCCCCAGATTCTTAGCTAAAAATTTTGAGCTTCTCTACACAGACTCAGCAGTCAGAGCAGATGCTGGGATATGGTCAAGTGAGAGGAAGAGGAGGAATGGGGCTCAGATGGTACATGGAGAGTCCTGGATTTAATGTTGACCTTTTTCTTCTCTTAAAATTCAGTGTTTGGATAATTTAATGTGCTTCCTTTTGCATTTCTTTGGTGAGTCTGTGGAGTGGATTGTTTAACTCCCCAGGAAGTATTTTTTAAGTGTCATAATGCATTTTCATAATTCTTACAGAGATGTAACATTATGCCACATACATAAAAAGAAGAGAGCAGGAATGAACAACTATTGAGTTAGCATATCCCTGCTTTCCCTAAGAAACCCTATGTTTTAGCACCATATCTTCTTGCCCCCAAAAGATTGTAGTGTTCTTTCTCTGACTGGAAATGCTGTTTGTAGCATTAATTTGAGAGTGACTCAAAGGTTGTCGTTGGTTTTCTTCTTTTCACTTTGTAGCTTCATTAATTTATTAACTTTTTTCCTTAAAGCACTATAAACTAAACTATAATAATGTGATAGATGAATAAAGTGTATAAAATTAACCTCTGATAATTTTAACAGTGGTAACGCTTTGTATTTGTATAGTGGTTTGTATATTTCAAAACATTTTCATATTCATCCTTGCATTTGTTCTGTCTTCCAGTCTAAAAATTAACCTCCTTATCTCAAATAATACATATTTTTATGACTAAAGATTGTAAGTCCGTGTTAGACTAAACAAATTTTCTGTTTCTGGTTCTAAGGGACTTTTCTTAATGCCTAAAGGGATGCTTTAATCAGAATGGTGGGGGATCATTGTTTCTACCACAGTTGACATTCTTTTTTGTCTGCTGAGCACTGAGAGATACAGATTTTTTTTTAAGTGTACATAATTCCTCGATCCTGTGTGTTTTATGTCTCACACACCCCCTTCACTTACCTGTCTAGCTATTAAACTTTTTTTAAAATGTGGTGCCCTGCAGGATATAATTTTTAAATGTCTCTTGAGACATCTCGTCAGTGAGAAAATCTAGCCAGAAAGCCTTGAATTTGATGCCATTAATTTATATAAATAATTTTATTTTACAGAATGACTTTTCCACATGAAGTCTTCACAAGTTAAATAATAGGTTTCAATAAAAATGTACTTGGGAAATTATTCAAACTTTCTGGAGATTTAGGTAGGCTTTTACTTGCTTAGGAATATGACTTTTCTTCCTATAATCAAGCATCTAAATGGGTCTTAAGCAGGAAGTTTTGACTGTTAGAAATAATTTTATTTCAGGATGAAAGACAAGAAGTCTTTTTTAAAAAACCTCTAAATCTAATGACTAACATTTTTTATGGAGCATTACAAAATACCTCCATTTCCATTACATCACTTGCTCCCCACAGCAATCTTGTAAGGATGGTAATTCTGTTTTCCTCATTTTATGTATAAGAAACCTTGCTTCTAAAAGTGGTGAATGGTCACACAGCTGCTAAATTGAGATCAATATTGAACTCAAGTCTTTGTAGACCTAAATCTTATATTTTTAGCAATTCCACATGACCTCTCTATAAGCTTGATTCCTGATTTTTCCTGGCCAATAAATAAAGGAGTAAGAAACCAATAAGTGAATCGGAGAATGTTATAGTCATAAAGGGCATTGATTAAGACCTTTTGTTTCCCTATCAGCTTAGAGAGGTTACATGGTATCTACCAGGTCACTTGCTAATGAGTAGCTGAGTTGAAATGAGAGCCTTGAAAATGACATCAAAGACATGAATTACATGTGTCTTTTGAAACCACATGTCTTTTATCAAATGCCTTGAATATGCCTGACAGAACCTTGGGCTTCTTTGAACATAACTTGAATTAGAGCATTCTTGTGAGCTCTCTGAGATGGCATAGGGTCTGGTCCTTTTATCCCTGTGTCTAGTAGTTTGTAAATATTCAGATATGCCAATTGGTTGTAGTATAATGTTAATTTCTAATACCTAATACCAAAACAATACTTACATAGTATGTTGCTTTCAGGGCTATTAGTTTCTAAATGACAACAGGAGAGATACTCAAATACTCAAATATGAACATTAAATCATTCAAAGATGATCTGACCCTTATATAACATTAATTTGAGTTTCACCTCTTATTTAGCTCCACATATTTGTCTGAGTCCACACACAGCTCAAAGAGGACAATTATCCAAATTATGACTTTTTATCTTAGAAGTACAATTTCTATGTCATTACAGTTCAAGTCATAATAACATGGTCATAGTCCAGGCCATAATTTTTACCATTTTATATCCATTTGTTATCTTCATATTTGCAGATTTATTCCATAGACGAAGATGAAAAATTAATACCTAGCTTGGAAATTATCTTACCACATGATTTGATAGATGGATTTGTGAATAATAAACGAGAAAGCTACAAATTTAAGTAAGTTTATCTTTCTCCTTTTTCCTTTGTTTCGTTATTAAACTAACTCTTGAACTGCATTGATATCCACTGTGAAATCATTAGCACCATTTCTTGTGAAAAACACCATGCAGCTCTGTCTTATCTGGTAGATAGAACTCAACTTGTATTTTCCCTGCTGTGCCCAAGATCAAAAAGAGCCTGTATTTCTGTCTCTGAGATCACACAAAAAGATTCAAGCCATTCTTTTGCTACCTTGGTTTATCTAGTGTCATCCTTTTTCTACTCAACTCCTTATGCTCTAGTACTTACAGGAAGTTCCATCACATGTCTAAACTTCATTAAAGATATACAGTCTGTGTGCTATACAGGTGAGCCTTCTCTAGAATATAAATTATGTGGAGACCTCACATGCACACATATACACTCTATATACACTGTATATCTGAGATGTTCAAAATAATAGCTGCAAGCCACATGTAATGGATATAATGCAAGGTAATGGGGAGTCATACAGTCCTTGAGCACTTGAAATGTCTCTAGCCTGATTTGAAATGTGCTGTAAAGTTTAAAATGTATGAAGGATTTTGAAGACTTAGTATGAAGAAAGATTTACAATATCTCAAGAATTTTTTCATATTTATTATTGACTGAAATGATACAATTTTGAATGCATTGGGTTAAAAGTATATTATTAAAATTAATTTTGCTTGCTTCTTTGTATGTTTTTTTTAAAACGTGGTTACTAGAAAATCTAGCACTCCCACATTTATGGATTGCATTATGTTTCTCTTGGGTTGTGCTGAACTGTGGAGTTCAGGTGAAAAGTACCAAGCAGTTAACCTTGGATAGTATCAGTGACTTTGGTTTGAATACTCTGTTAGTGACTAGGTCTTGAGTTTGGGGATTATGGTTGTTTTATACTACTTTCATCCTCCAGTTTCAGGTTAAGTCATTTCTTTTCATCTCCACTTTTGATTTTTGGAGAAGTTTGAGTCCAAGTTAAATCCATATTTGATCTCTGGCTCAAACTTTGGTGGTGGATTTCTCGGTCCTGCTGAAGGAATCCTAATTGCTCTCTTGCCTTTATCTCTAGTCTGTTTTACAAAGGCCCTCTTTTGAGACTACTCCTGCCCTTGCCCTTTGGATGAAACTATCTCAGATATCTTTTATAATTTTGCTTCTCTATTTTTCTAACCTATTTTTCTTTTTAAGTTCTTATTTGCTCCCCCCACACTTTTTTGTCCCATAAATAATTCTCTTTGATCTTCCTAATTCTACCTTTTTTCTTTCACATACACATCTCTCCATCCACCTCTCTGCATTTTCTTATTGTGTCTCTTATTACAATAAGTACAAGCAGGGGTTGCTAACAACATTGTTACACAGTTGGGGCGGGTCCTTCACCTTATCTGTGTGATTCCCCATTACCTTGCATTATATCCTTTAAGGAGTAACCCCACAACCTATCATTTACTTTTTTTGAAGGGGGCATTCTCCCACTAATGTAAGCACACTACATACCTGAATAGCTATGATGGCAGCTGGACTAGGCTAATCTCTAAAAAGTAACACTTTACTGAAACATTTTATTTAGCAAGATTTTATTTGGTTTTTAAGAGAATTGAGTATGTCTGTAACTACTGACCCTTTCTAAAGTATTCTTTACATTATGTGGATACAGAGTGCCTTTAAACATACTTTTTGAAAAAGCACCATTTGCTTATTTTAAAATCTTTGAATTAAAAATATTGGTTTTAATATTTGAAATAAAAAATTAATAAAATATCCAATTTATACATATCCTCAGAGATAAATATCTAAGTATTTTAAAGGCTATTCCCCCCCCCCAAAATGTATTCAATCAATACATATGTATTGATGCCCCACTGGGAGCTGTTTTCATTGCTAGGAACACAGCAGGAACCACAACAAAGCTCCTGCTCTATGGAGCTGCATTTCAGGGGGAGGAAATAGATGAGAAGATTCACAAGCAAAATATATGTCAAAAGTATTCAGTGACTTGGAAAGAAATAAGGCAGAGAAGAGGAAGCAGGAGTGCTGGGTTGGGGAATGGAGAACAGAGGAGAAGTATGCTTGCAACATTAATAGGTCATTCAGGGAGGGTATTACAGTAAAGGAACATTAGGGCAGAGGCTTGATGGAGGTGAGGAAGCCAGCCATTCAAGTATCTCAGAGATGAGAATTCCAGGCCACGGGAATAGCAAGAGTGAAGCCCCTGAGATGGGAGAGAGTGTGGCATGTTTGAGGAAAAGTGAAGGGATCTGTGTGGCTGGAGTAGAATAGGCAAGGGGTAATGGTAGGAAGATGGGTTAAAGAGGCAGCTGAGTGGGCAGATCACATGGAGCTGTATAAGTCATTGTGAGAACTTGAGCATTTCCTCAAAGTGCCATGGGCAGGCAATGGAGGGTTTTGAGCAGAAGAATGAAATTATCTTACTTATGTTTTAGCAGGTTCACTCTTGTGTAAGGAGGCAAGGGAGACGAGTTGGGTCATTGGAAGGGAGACCGGGCAAGAAATTGTGATAGCTTGGTCCAGGGTGGTCGTAGTGGAAATGTGGAGAAATAATTAAATTCTGGATGTGTTCTGACAGAATTTGCTATTGGATTGGATAGGAATGTAGTGGGAAAAGAGGAGCTAAGGAGTCCCTAAGGGTTTTGGACTAAACATTCAGAAGAATGGAGTTGCCATTTTCTGGGATGAGGAAGAGTGCAGGAAGAACAATTTGGTGTGGGAAGACATCAGCATGTGCTGGACTTGAAACAGAGTTTAGAAAAAGCCCACACAACCTCCTAATAATGAAAGAACCTCCTAGGAATCAAGAAACCTGGGTTATATCTCAAAGCATGATATTGATGAGCCCCGGGACCGTGAGTAATTACTTTGGCTCTGTGGACCTCAACTTTTTTCTCTGCTAATGATTAGATGGAACCTGTTAAAATCCCCTCTAGCGCTGTGATTCTATTTTGCTCTTCAGTGGTTTTTAGAAGAGAAAAAATGCCTTCTGATCAAAATGCCTTTTCAGATTACTGTGCAACTACATTGTATAAAATAAAATATTTTGAGATGAAGCCGGGCTTGGTGGCTCAGCCTGTAATCCCACGCCTTTGGGAGGCTGAGGTGAGTGGATTGCCTGAGCCCTCAGGTTTGAGACCCGCCTGGGCAGCGAGACCTCATCTCTACAATAAATCAAAAAATCAGCCAGGTGTGGTAGCGCATGCCTGTAATTCCGGCTACTTGGAAGGCTGAGGAGGAAGGATCACCGGAGTCCAGCAGGTCGAGGCTGCGGTGGCCGGGAGTGGCCACTGCACTCCAGTCTGGGCGACAGAGTGAGACTCCAACTCAAATATATATATATATATATATATATATATATATATATATATTTTGAGATGATGAAATATCATGTTTCATATATAATTAATGATTTATTGTAAATTTGGTACTAAAATCTTCATTCCAAAAAGTGTAAAGAGAAGACAATAAATAGAGGGATCTGGGTTGCTTGTAGTTCTACCACCTGTTATTTTAAATAGTGGAAGATGTCATTTTTCCCCAAGGAGCTCAATATGCTTTGCAGATATTGAACTAAAATTACATTATAAGTTTACTTTAAGTCTTGCTAGAAGAACCCAGTACATGGTAGGCCCTCAATATGTGTTGACAGAATGAATAGATCAATTAGTAAATAAAAATGCTATGATTGATTTTATATGCAGTACCCTTCAGGATATATTCTGTGTGTTATTCAATGCCTTCTTTAAAACTTAAGGAATTAGGTTGTGGAGTAGCTAATTGAGTCATTTATTCATCACTGATCTGGTAACAGAAGGAGACCAGCCTTTTTTATCATTTTTCTCAACAGCACTGCTAAGCTTGTTGTTCAGATGTCATATAAGACAGCGGTCTGAAGAACAGGTCAGCAGCTGTGTTATGTCAACCTCTGTGCTATGTTGGTGTTCATATCTGAAGCTGTGATACTCCTATAGAGTGTGCCTGAGCACACTGAACAGTAAATATTGCCATCTAGAATATAATCGTGCCTGCTAAATGACATAGTAGCCAGAGTGCCTTAGAATGTCTCTTTGTATAACTCATTATGTGTTCCTCTAAAACAGAGGCAGATCAGCTATGAAGACTTTTGAAGTTAATGTTGGCTAAAGATGATGACTCTCACTCCATTTTATATTTCCAGTCCAGCTCCAGACCCCTTTTTAAATGACTTTACATATCACTTACAACAGCTACTTTAATTGCAGGTGTACCCAGTTCATTTTTGTAGGCAGGCACGTGAACCAAATGTTCCCAAGTCACTTTGAAAGCTGACTGGGATGCCCTCAGAGTGTTTGTTTTAAAGTTTTTGCTTTAAAACCACCATCCCAATTTTTATTTTGAAAAATTTAAAGATATACAGAAAAGGTAGAAGAATAGCCCAGTCAACACTCGTATACTCTTTGTGGGGGATTTAACTTTTGTTAACATATTAGCCAATTTGTACTTCCTCTGTTCCCATTCTCTCTCTTATCATCATGTTTTAAGGGGGGCTATCCTTCCTGATTGCAGCATACCACACTGAACAAAAATAGATTCTGTGTCTCCTACCCCCGGTATTCTACTGTGCTTATGATCCTAAGTCAGAGTGACATTGAGAGAAGAGTGAAACTGACACCATTCTACCTCCCATTCCCCTGACATTGCCAATCTGATAAAACCTTCTCTTTGCAAGACAGGTCTGTCTTAATTTACTTTTTGACTTTTGACTCATGGTCAACAAAATGAAACAAAACCATCCTGAGAATTAAATGGTTGATACTAGGATGCAGTACCTAATTAGTAAAAAAATAAACTTCAGTTCAAAATCTTAAGACAAAATTTGATAGGCATACAATTCACAGTTGCGTTCTTTTCTCACAGGTCAGACATCAGAAGTTCTTTGGCTGTTTACATCCTGTTCTTGGGTTTCCATTTCATGCAGTTATCTAGATTTGAATTTCATGCCAATTGCAGACACTATCCCTCTTGAGAGCTAAAAAAACACACAGTTTATTATTTGTTTCAAAGCTGCTGCAGTTTTTCAGAGGGATTTATTGTGCAGATCTTGTCAAAGCAATACTGTTTACTTACCATTTGTATACAGGAGTACAACAGCACAGTGTGGTTGGGATTACAGGGCAAACATTGTGTTAAGTTAGGTAAGCCCAGTGATGTAGATATGGTGTAATTCACAAAGCTTTTAGAAAAACAAGATTTATTAATCCAACAGTGTTTCAAGGCTCAGCCTGTAAATAATTACTATTTTTACATTGCAGATTTCAAAGAATTTTTGATCAGGATGCAAACCAAGAGACCATTTTTGAAAACATTGCCAAACCAGTTGCTGAGAGGTAGGATTTCCCATATTTTGTTTGGCGGGTTAGTGGTTTTTCATCTTGTCTTCAATTTTCAGATAATTGTGGTAATGTGCTTCAGTGTATCAATTATATACTTAGGCTTCAGGGCATGTAATGTAATGGTGACAGCATTAATAACTTCTATTCATATAGCTGTTTGTTTTAGATTTGGATTCTGAGCCTCAAAACAAACCAGTGGGATAGACAGAATAGCTACTGTTACTCCCATTTTAAAAGATAAGTAAACTGAGTATCACAGAGATTAAGTGACATTGCTCACGGTTACATGGCTAGTGGCAGCAGAGTCCTAGATGGCTTTCTAGCTATTAAGTTCAGTGCTTCTTCCTCAGTACTGTACTTTAAACATACATTTAGATGGACAAAGGATAAGGTATGGCTGCTCCTGGGAGGCCCATTGATGATTGGCCCTGCTCTACCTCAGTGTCATTTCAAAGCTTGGCCTCAGTTTCTAAGTTCCTTTGCTTTAATATAGCCAGTTAGCGCCATGCTTCTGACTAGTACCAAACTCACATGTGAACACCAAATAAATCAGAATGGCAGTTTATTAATATGTATTGGCAAAGTTTCCTTGGGACTAGACACTCAAGCCTTTGATAAGCACATTATCTTCTTGTGGGAAATCTATGTGGGAAACTACTACTAATAAGATTGCTTTCTGATCATGATTATTTTTTATCATTTCTGATCATCATCATGAGTTATTTGGATGATTTTGATGACCTAATAATAATCCCAAGATATATTCATCTTTACAGTCAGAATGAAAACATGTATATGCTAAATAAACCCAATTTTCAAGTCTACTAATCATTATCCTGTTTTTAATGGACCTTCCTAGAAACACAGTCCCACATTTTATCTCTCAAACTCCTGTTTTATGAATCCTACTTGACCAAGTCCTTCTGTTTTGATACAGATGTCCTTCATTAGATAAATCACAAACTTGTAGGCTTACACTATTTTAATTAAAATCACAATCTAGTATCACTGCTTTAGATTAAATTCAATTCTCTTTGATTGGATGTCAAGCATTTCTAAAATGTCCTTATTTTAGCAGTGATTTGGTTATGTCATTTTTCAGATAACTGGTCTCTTGCGTTGTATTTTGAAACTTCCTAAATTCATTCAGGGAGGGACCCTTAGTCCCTGTTTCACGGATGCCTGGGTCTTCCTCCCATTACAGACTCTCCCATCTTGATCCCACTTCCTTCTCCAGTGACTGCCCTTTTCTTCACTTTACAGAAAATGTATTTGAAATGGTTGACTGTATTCACTACTTCAGTTTCTCTCTTGAACCCTCTTCTTACCAGGCATTGGTCTCCACCACCCCACTGAAATTACTTCCATCGAAGTCAGCTATAACTTCTCTTTGCTTAATGTAATAATGGTCATTTCTTGGGCCTTATATCATTTTATAATGTCCACTTTTTTGACACAGTTGATCACTCTGTGTTCCTCCAAATGCTTTCTTTGCTCATCACACTCTTGGTTTCCCAGTTCTCTCACTAGACATTCCCTCTCAGCTCATCTAAGTAACTTTAATTGTATATAGTGACCAAATAGCCTCTGCACTTGCTGTTCCCTCTGCCTGAAATTCTCTTTCTTGAGAAATTTGCATCTTTGCTTCCTCATAATGTGAAGCCTCTGCTCACATGCCACTTTCTCGTTAACGCCTTCCTGCACTACCCTGTTAAAAATTGCACCTCCATTACCTTGCCCTGTTTTACTTAATTTTTTTTACACTTACTACATAGTTTGATTATCTATTAATTTTTGTGTCTGTCTGCCTCCATGAAGGCATGGATGTTGTTTTGTTCATTGACTTAACAAAGATACCCAAACTCTATGAAAAAGATTTCAGGGCCAGGCACAGTGGCTCACGCCTATAATCCCAGCACTTTGGGAGGCCAAGGTGAGAGGACTGCCTGAATCCACGGGTTCGAGACCAGCCTGGGCAACTTGGTGAGACTTTATCTCTACAATAAATAAAACAAAAAAAATTAGCTGGGCGTGGTGATGCATGCCGGTAGTTACAGCTACTTGGAAGGCTGAAGCTTAAGGGTCACCTGAACCCAGCAGGTTGAGGCTGTGGTGGCCATGAGCATGCCACTGTACTCCAGCCTGGGCGATAGAGTGAGATTCCAACTCAAAAAAAAAAAAGTTCAGAAACGATATGCAAAAACCTTTCTATCCAAGTGGCTCAAATTGGTTTTATCTTTTATTAATAGGAAATATTCCTCTTTGTCCTTTTTATTACTTTTTTCTTATATCCTATCCTTTTTTCTCTGAAATTACTTTTGCTATTTTTTTGTTCTGTTAGCCTTTATCTGATTTGTCTTTCTCCATCTCTTAGTTCAACTGCCTTGTGACATTTTGTTTGGACTTCAGGAAATGACCCATTAGGGTAGGCAGTGAGGCAAGGACTCCTAGGAATTCCTGCTGGGGGGACAGAGTTATGTATGTGGGTGGGACGGAAGAGCAGCATCTTTCCCTCAGCTATCTCTACCTAATGTAGCCCCAGTCTTCTTCCCCCAGCCCTTCTGAGCTCCGAGTTCAAGGGCTTAGGCAAGAGGATTGCCTGAGCCCAAGGTTTCAAAACCAGCCTGGGTGACATGGCAAGACCTCATCTCTACAAGAAATAAAAAAAATTAGCTAGGTGTGGTGGCATGCACCTGTGGGCACAGCTACTTGGAGGGCTGAGGTGGAAGGATTACCTGAACCTACCAGGTCAAGGCTGTGTTTGCTGTGATTGTGTCACTGCACTCCAGCCTGGGCAATGGTGTGAAACTCCGACTCAAAAAAATTATAATAAACTAATTTTCAAAACAAATAAATAAAGTATGGACCTAGTAAATAAAATATAGCTGCTTTTATCTTTTTAGCCAAACTCAGAGTCCCTGATCTTTAAGAGTTACATTAAACTGTTTATATTTATTAGGATTACAATAAAAAATATTTGGAGCAATTTCTCCTATCTTATTTTTTCCATGTATTATACTTTTTTTTTATTTCTTGCTTTTTGTTGGTTTGACTGTGCTCTTTATTGTTGTTTTGCTGCTTCTGTTTTCTCCCATTGTACTTCAGCACCTCTAGTTAAAATTCAAATATTTAAACACTTGTATTTTTCTCAATATCTAAAATTTCTATCTTTCTCTGCCTCTCTTTCTTTCTCTCGTCTTTCTAGTCAGGAACTTTAGCATACTTTTACTCTGTCTCTCCTATTCCCCCGTAACTTCCAGTGTAGAAATAAATTGATATTTCCTTCTGAATTGTTAGTAATCATTTTTATCATCAACATTTATTTAAATTTATCTCCAAGTTATACCTATTTCTTTGCTCCTCACTGATTCTTGTACTCGTGTTTCTTTCTTGGATGCCTCTTTGGAAATCATCCTCTAATAACTTTTTAGAGAGAGTTCAAGACTGGGGAACTTTTAGAAGCATTTTATGTTCTTTCACAGCTAAATGGCATTTGACTGACTGTAGAATTCTAGGTTTAAAGTTATTTTCGCAGGACTATGAAGACATTGTTTCACTGTCTCTTTGCATGCAAGGTTGTTGAAAAAATGTCAATGCCAATCTGACTCTTATTACTTTTAGAAACATCTGTTTCATTTTCTAGATATTTTCAGGATTTTTTTGTTGTTTTTCTTTGCTTTAATGAAATTTCATATCAATGAGTCTAGGTATGAATATTTTTCATGTATTCTTATCTCTCATTCAGTTAGTTTAGTCTGAAAACTCTTATATTCAAGTTCAAGGATTGTCATATTGATAACTTATTTGACAATTAGAAAAATAATTTCCTTATCTTTGACATGTCTATCCTTTCTTTCTGGAACTTCCAGTTTCTCTGAAAGAATTTGTCAGCTCAAACTTCCAACACAGTAATTTTTTTTTCAATCATATGCATTCTGCTTTGTCACCTACCTCTAATTTTTTTTAATAATTTATTTTATATTTCTAGGAAATGAAAAAGTCTATTCTTGCTTATGAATGGGATGTCAACTCTTTCCCTCCAAAGATAATTATCATCTGCTTTTGAATGCAAGAATGGAAAGAAGTTTAAAGCTTTTTTTCTGTCCATTTTTTATGTGCATGTTCTTCTACTGATGAGTTTGGTGCCTGACATTCCTGGTTCAGATTTTCCTCAGATATTGGGTGGTTCTCAGGGGTAGGCTCCTCTCTGTCATTTTGAGAGTGCTGTTGTCTGTTTGAGCATTCTGGTTCTGCTCACTGTGGCCCACCCTCATGTCTGTGGGGAAGGGATGGCATGTACTGTGGACATAATGTGCTTATCTATGTACAGTGCCCTCCTTCTGCCATGGTGTTAAGGGTCTGGTCACTGTCACTAATCCAAGTTGTTACTCTGCAGAAATGTGTACTGCAGCAGTGAATAGACAGATGGACCACATGCACATTTTTCTTTGATTCATCTCCAAAGGACAGGATTGTTAAGCAAGTGAACTTATTAAATTAAGAGTCTGGGAAGGAACTCACTCTTTTCATTTAATTTAAATATATTGGTGCTGCGGAGGAACGGCTGTTGGCCTTTGGGGGGTTCAGGCCATTGACTGGTCGGGGCTCTGGTGTTCTGCGTCTCCCTGCCGAGGTGTTGCCTCGGGAAGAGGAAGCCATGGCACTCCGGGTCACCAGGAACACGAAAATCAATGCTGAAAATAAGGTGCAGGTCAATATGGGAGGTGCAAATGTGTGCCCATGGCGGCTGCTGCAGCCTCCAAGCCAGGGCTGAGGCCAAGAACAGCTTTTGGAGACATTGGCAACAAAGTCAGTGAACAGCCACCGGCCAAAATGCCTCTGAAGAAGGAAGTAAAAACTTCAGCTACTGGAAAAGTTATTGCTAAAAAACTACCAAAGCCTCTGGAGAAGCTGCCAGTGCTGATGCCGGTGCCCGAGCCTGAGCCAGAACCTGAGCCTGTTAAAGAAGAAAAGCTTTCATCTGAGCCTATTCTGGTTGATACTTCTTCTCCAAACCCAATGGAAACATCTGGATGTGCCCCTGCAGAAGAGTATCTGTGTCAGGTTTTCTCAGATGTAATTCTTGCAGTGAGTGATGTGGATGCAGAAGATGGGGCTGATCCAAACCTTTGCGGTGAGTATGTGAAAGATATTTATGCTTATCTGAGACAGCTTGAGGAAGAGCAATCAGTCAGACCAAAATACCTACTGGGTCAGGAAGTCACTGGAAACATGAGAGCCATCCTAATTGACTGGCTAGTTCAGGTTCAAATGAAATTCAGGTTGCTGCAGGAAACCATGTACATGACTGTTTCCGTTATTGATCGCTTCATGCAGAATAATCGTGTACCCAAGAAGATGCTGCAGCTGGTTGGTATCACTGCCATGTTTATTGCAAGCAAATATGAAGAAATGTATCCTCCAGAAATTGGTGACTTTGCTTTCGTGACTGACAACACTTACACTAAGCACCAAATCAGACAGATGGAAGTGAAGATTCTAAAAGCTTTAAACTTTGGTCTGGGTCGGCCTCTATCCCTACACTTCCTTCGGAGAACATCTAAGATTGGAGAGATTAATGTCGAGCAACATACTTTGACCAAATACATGATGGAGCTGACTATGTTGGACTATGATATGGTGCACTTTCCTCCTTCTCAAATTGCAGTGGGAGTTTTTTGCTTAGCACTGAAAATTCTGGATAATGGTGAATGGACCCGAACTCTACAGCATTACCTGACATACACTGAAGAATCCCTTCTTCCTGTTATGTAGCATCTGGCCAAGAATATAGTCATGGTAAATTGTGGACTTACAAAGTACATGACTATCAAGAACAAGTATGCCACATCTAAGCATGCTAAGATCAGCACTCTAGCACAGCTGAACTCTGCACTAGTTCACGAGTTAGCCAAGGCTGTGACAAAAGTGTAACATGTAAACTTGATTTGAGTATTATATCTGCAAATAAAATTGGCACCATGTACCGTCTGTACATAATAATGTTGCATTAACTCATTTTTAATAAAGTCCCTGGTCCTTTTAATAAATAAATAAATAAATAATATACAATATATTCATGTTTTATGCAAACTGGAATGATATGATTTTCAAATGGTAAAATATAAAGTACGAATAAAGTGTCACATTCACAATATCTGAAGTAATATTTATCTCCATAGATTAAAAAGTAGGTTTTTGTTTTTTGGTTTTTTTAACTTTAAATATGTGGGGTACAATTCAGGATTCGGTATACAAACGTTGATTCTGTAGGTACCCTTGTTGATGAGGTGTGCCCCTCCCTCCCTTGGCAGTTTCCCTCAATTGCCAATCCCACCCCCTCCCTTGGCAGTTTCCCACTACTGCCAATCCCTTTCTTACAGTATTATGATCATTGATCAGGCCTCAGGACGTGTGAATGAGATGCTTCCATATGGGCGATTGCTGTCGACCAGCAATTGCCACCATTCCTCAAGGTTAACTTAGGTTTTATTGCACTGAATTTAGTCTCAAAAACATTCCCACCTCCATACCCTTGCTTATAGTTCTTTCTACCTGGAAGGCCTCTTACCAATCCTTATCTTCTTGGTCTACTCTTCCTCTAAGGCCTGCTCAGGCAGTTTCCCTCAACTGCCAATCCCACCCCGCCTCCCCTGGCAGTTTCCCATTACTGCCAATGCAAAAAGTAGTTTTTAAATAATTATTTAACTTAGCATGAAATGAAAACTATACCATTTTAGATATTAAACAGAAATGCCTACAATCCCTAGTAAAGATTATCCTCAGGATCACATTCTCAACATAAAATCTAACCACTCTGAACAGGCCTTTGAAAGTTATTCTACTGACTTAACACATTGTCACTTAATCCTGGTTATTGTATGCAATTAAATCTAAATGAAATTAATCACATTTTCCCCTAAAATTTTGCAATTCAGGAATTCCACTAATTTAGACTTATCTTTTCCTGCTTATCCCAAATCAGTGATATTATGCTGCATGACTGCATAGGACTGCAAGAATGGAAAGAAGTTGTAAAGCTTTAACTTTGTATTATTGGAACTTAAGTAAAATAATCATAGTGGTTATTTATTATCTGTTACATATCCACTATCAAGTACTTCATCATGCTGCCTCTTCTGAACTCAGGGGTTTTTTTTGTTTGTTTTGAGTTGGAGTCTCACTCTGTCACCCAGACTGGAGTGCAGTGGCCGCTCCCGGCCACCGCAGCCTCACCCTGCTGGGCTCCGGCGATCCTTCCGCCTCAGCCTTCCAAGTAGCCGGAATTACAGGCATGCGCTACCACGCCCGGCTGATTTTTTGATTTATTGTAGAGATGAGGTCTCGCTGCCCAGGAGGGTCTCGAACCCGCGGGCTCAGGCAATCCACTCACCTCAGCCTCTCAAAGGCGCAGGATTACAGGCTGAGCCACCGAGCCCAGCTTAGGGTTTTTTTTTAAATAAATACATCCTGTCTTTATTAGGAACATGTAAAAACTGCCTTTATAATATGATTTTTGCTATTGATTTTAGATGAATTTTATTTTATTTTAGATTCAGTGGGTACAAGTGCATGTTTTCTATATGGACATATTTTGTAGTGGTAGGGATTGGGTTTCAAGTGATCCATTTTCCTGATAGTGAACATTATACCGAATAGGTAACTTCTGATCCCTAACTCTCCTCCCCGCCTCCCTCTTTTTAGTGTCCTCAGTGTCCATTATTTCCACCTTTATGGCCATTTAGCTCCCACATATAAGTGAGAATATGCAGTGTTTGGTTTCTGCTTCTGAGTTAGTTCCCCTTAGGATGATGTTTTCTCCAGTTCCATCCATGTTTGCTGCAAATGGCATGATTTTGTTCTTTCTTTATGTCTGTGTAATATCCCATGGTATACATACACCACATTTTCTTTATCCAATCATTGGTGGGCACTTATGTTGCTTCCATGATTCTGCTATTGTGAATAGAACTGCAATGAATCTACCCAAAGGAAAGAGATTTCTCTTTGAGATTGCTGATCAAATGGTAATTCTATTTTTAGTCCCTTGAGAAATCTCCATACTGTCATTCAAGAAGGTTGAATTAGTTTATAATCCCATCCACAATATATGAGTTTTTACTTTTTTTCTGCAACTATGCCAGCATCTGCTGTTCTTTGGCTTTTTAATAATTAGCCATTCTGACTGGTGTTAGATGATGTCTCATTGTGGTTTTGATTTGCATTTCTCTGACAATTAGTGATGTTGAACATTTTTTCCTATGTTTGTTGGCCGCTGTATGTCTTCTTTTGAGAAGTATCTATTTATGTTCTTTGCCTATTTTTGATGGGGTTGTTTGCTTTTTTCATGTTGAGTTCCTTATAGATTCTGGATATTAGTTCTTTGTCTATGGCTTAAGTTGCAAATATTTTCTCCCATTCTGTTGGTTTTCTGTTCATTCTGTTGGTTACTTATTTTGCTGTGCAGAAGTTTTGTAGTTTAATTAAGCCCCATTTTTTTTTTCTTTTTTTTTGTCACAATTGCTTTTGGGGGTCTTCGTCATAAATTCTTTGCCTAGGCTGATGTCCAGAAGAGTGTTTCCTGGGTTTTCTTCTAGGGTTTTTATAGTTTCAGGTCTTACATTTAAGTCTTCAATCAGATGAAAATTTTTTATAAAGATAAAATATAGTAAGTCCACAAATGCAACCTTTCCATTTATACTAAGGGCATGAAGGTAAAAAGAAAGCTCTCAAGGCTACCCTCTCAGATTTGGAGAAGGAGGTTTTCAAATACTTGGGCACTTGACTCTGGCTGGGTGAGAGGCCAGTGCTTGAAGGAAGGGATTTTCTCACTGGAGGAGCAGTACCACACTCTCAGTGGGATCAGTACTAATGTCCAGCAGGGCTTTCACCTGTTGCTCCTTGGAAAACAGGCTTTGCTGATTATGCTGTGGGTTAAGAAGCACATCCAGAGCCAGGCTCGGTGGCTCAGCCTGTAATCCCACGCCTTTGGGAGGCTGAGGTGAGTGGATTGCCTGAGCCCACAGGTTCGAGACCCGCCTAGGCAGCGAGACCTCATCTCTACAATAAATCAAAAAATCAGCCGGGCGTGGTAGCGCATGCCTGTAATTCCAGCTACTCGAAAGGCTGAGATGGAAAGATCGCCAGAGCCCAGCAGGTCGAGGCTGCGGTGGCCGGGAGCAGCCACTGCACTCCAGTCTGGGCGACAGAGTGAGACTCCAACTCAAAAAAGAAAAAAAAAAAAAAAGAAGCACATCCAGTCCTGCTAGCCCAGAGAAGCAACCCTGCACTTCCAATACAAGGAGGTCAGAATGGGGAAGAAAGGGTCCACAAAAAAGTATTAAAAACCTTACTAGTCATTCACCTCTGGGTATTTATGCTTTTACTGTGTGTGGCTCAAAATTATTTGGCATCAAGACAACATCAAACAATCCCTGTGACTATTTCACTATGTGACTCTGGATCAGACATATCACTTCTAAATCAGTTGTCCTCTCTTGAGAAAGGGGAGGTACTAATAATACCAAGTTTACAAGATGGTAGAGAGGATGAAAAGAAACAATGCAAGTGAATATACTTTATGAACTTCAATACCCTATCCAATGTAAGGGATGAAAAACTAGAAATCTTTATTTTCTTTGTCACTTTAAAAATAGGTTCAGTAACTTCTAGTTTCAGACCAAAATGGAGTAGGCACGTCTCTCTACTCCCCTCACTAAGTACAACTAAAAACTCTAGACATTATGTAAAAAGATAATAAGAAGACTGAATAGTGAAGAGAAAAAAGGTAGACTAGCTAGGGACTTCAGGGCCTGAGGAATAACACAGTGGTGAGTTCCCTTGTCTTTTTTCCCTTCATATAGCTCAGATTGGATGCTGGAGAAATTGGCAATCCAGAAACACCAATGAGGTCAAACAAAAGCTTCAAGAAGTACCTACTTTCTCTAGCGAGATGGCCAGGAAACTGACAGCCTCATAAGATAGAAAGCTTTTAGATACTAGCTGCCTACTCCATCCAAATACATGGAAAAACCCATGACCCCACCCCTATGGGTTTTAAAGGGAAAGCAACTTAAAGGGAACAAGGCTTCTATACTTCATTCAAACTGGAAAATGCCAACACCAGTAGATCTCTGCGGTGAAGGAACAGTTCTGAATTTTGATTGCTATGGTGGTTGCGCAACCCTACATAGGTGAGAAAATGGCATAGAAGGGTATATACACATTGTATCAATGTCAGTTTCCTGGTTTTCATAATGTACTGCAGTTATGCAAGATGTAACCATTGGGGGGAACTGGGTAAAGGGTACACAGAATGACTCTTACTCTCTTTATAACTTCCTGTAAATTTATAATTATTTCAAAGTAAAACATTAAGAAATATCCCTAGATATGAAAATGTTAGTGCTACTTGTTCTGTAATGTTCTATTCAATAAATTATTTAATCTAAATTGTTCTTTTTGGTTTTTTTGGGGATTTGTTTGTTTGTTTTTTTGAGTTGGAGTCTCACTCTGTCGCCCAGACTGGAGTGCAGTGGCCGCTTCCGGCCACCGCAGCCTCGACCTGCTGGACTCTGGCGATCCTTCCGCCTCAGCCTTCCAAGTAGCCGGAATTACAGGCATGCGCTACCACGCCCGGCTGATTTTTTTTTTTTTGATTTATTGTAGAGATGAGGTCTCGCTGCCCAGGTGGGTCTCGAACCTGCGGGTTCAGGCAATCCACTCACCTCAGCCTCCCAAAGGCACGGGATTACAGGTTGAGCCACCGAGCCCGGCTAATCTAAATTGTTACACTAAACCCCCGTTCCCACCATGGGTCTCAATAAAGCTAATCTCATTTGAAATTCACAAAAATATGCCTACCAGTGATATTGTATATATATATCTATTGAGTTGGAGTCTCACTCTGTCATCCAGACTGGAGTGCAGTGGCA